AGGAGGGTACCACACAAACGAGACGCATTCTAAACTAAACTTTATTCAAATTGGAGCAGGTTGCTTCTCTCCGCATGCCTGCGCGAAGAGTGAGCCACCAGTTTTACTAAATTCTTGGCACGACACTTCGTCTACAATAAATTCAGGGTCTAACACGCAGGAGCAGGCTGTCGCGATCAATGTTAGCCATAGCAGATGTTTTATTTGTGATCGGGCCAAGAAAAAGCCCTATTATGGATGTGACAGAGGCCTTAGTCCAGCTGTGGATTGAGCATGGTTGATGATGATGTGGCTGATAATGATTATAGTGGTGGTGATGATAACGATGATGATGGTGGTGGTGACGATGGTGGTGATGATGATGATGACGACGATGGTGGTGGTGATGATGATGACGAGTGAGTCAACAGCAAGCTGCCCAACAGCAACAGCGACAGTGGTATAGTGGTGAGCATAGCTGCCTTCCAAGCAGTTGACCCGGGTTCGATTCCCGGCTGTCGCAAGTCTTAGAATTTTTTTTTTCATTTTTTCATTTTAACAGCTGAGATGGATTCAGGAGATCAGCTGTGAGTGGTAACATTTTCATCGCAAGATCGAGAGTGTGGCAACGGATTAGAGGAGGAGGCCTTCATCCAGCAGTGGATTGAGGCTGGCTCACGATGTTGATGGTAGTGATGATGATGAGTGGGTCAACAGCAAGCTGATCAACAGCAGCAGCGACAGTGGTATAGTGGTGAGCATAGCTGCCTTCCAAGCAGTTGACCCGGGTTCGATTCCCGGCTGTCGCAGTGGTCATTGATTATTTTAATTTGTCCGAGTTGAACTCAGATGGAGAGAGAGGTCACAGTGGGAGTGCCTCGTGCAAGGCAGCACAGCAAGTAGGACTCCCCATCCTGCATCGTCATCAGCAGCCGAGATCAATCCACTGCTGGATGAAGGCCTGGTGAGGTCACTTCACGAGTTGAGTTTTTGTCGATTGTGCTCGTGGATCAATGGAGCGGCAGCATCACTACAGTAATTTGTCTAATTTAAACGAAACGTCGCTTTGTGTTGCACGCGGTCGGGTTTTTGTTCACTCGCTATGGATGAGGCACCTCTATTTAAATACAAAAAAATATATAAAACTTTAGCCTGCGACAGCCGGGAATCGAACCCGGGTCAACTGCTTGGAAGGCAGCTATGCTCACCACTATACCACTGTCGCTGTTGTTGAAGAGCAGTTTACTGTTGACCCACTCATCATCATCACTTCCATCAACATGGTGAGCCAGGCTCAATCCACTGCTGGATGAAGGCCTCCTCTTCCCAAAATCAGTTTCCACCATCTCGCTCCTGCGATGGAACAAAAAATCACCACTCGGAGATGATCTCTAAATCCCACATCGCATCGGACCCCCGGCAGAGGAGGATCGGCAGCAGACCGCCGTCACCCCACCCCCCGATGGAGCTGTTCCGAGCCCCGCGTGCTCGATGGATGATGAAGGCCTGGGATAGTCATCTCACGAGATGAGAGACACAAGATCTGTGGAGGGTGCTTCTTACAAGGCAGCACAGCAAGTAGGATCCTCATCCTAACCTGTCGAAGGAGGGTGCCACACAAACGAGACGCATTCTAAACTAAACTTTATTCATATTGGAGCAGGTTGCTTCTCTCCGCTTGCCTGCGCGAAGAGTGAGCCACCAGTTTTTCTAAATTCTTGGCACGACACTTCGTCTACAATTAAGTCAGGGTCTAACACGCAGGAGCAGGCTGTCGCAATCAATGTTAGCCATAGCAGAAGTTTTAGTTGTGATCGGGCCCAGAAAAAGCTATATTATGGATCTGACAGAGGCCTTAGTCCAGCTGTGGATTGAGCATTGTTGATGATGTGGCTGATGATGATTATAGTGGTGGTGATGATGATGATGGTGGTGATGACGATGGTGGTGATGATGATGATAACGATGGTGGTGGTGATGACGATGGTGGTGATGATGATGATAACGAGGGTGGTGGTGATGATGATGATGAGTGAGTCAACAGCAAGCTGCCCAATAGTAACAGCGACAGTGGTATAGTGGTGAGCATAGCTGCCTTCCAAGCAGTTGACCCGGGTTCGATTCCCGGCTGTCGCAAGTCTGAGATTTTTTTTCATTTATTCATTTTAACAGCTGAGATGGATTCAGGAGATCAGCTGTGAGTGGTAACATTTTCATCGCAAGATCGAGAGTGTGGCAACGGATTAGAGGAGGAAGCCTTCATCCAGCAGTGGATTGAGCCTGGCTCACCATGTTGATGGTAGTGATGATGATGAGTGGGTCAACAGCAAGCTGCTCAACAGCAACAGCGACAGTGGTATAGTGGTGAGCATAGCTGCCTTCCAAGCAGTTGACCCGGGTTCGATTCCCGGCTGTCGCAGTGGTCATTGATTATTTTGATTTGTCCGAGTTGAACTCAGATGGAGGGGGGGGTCACAGTGGGAGTGCCTCGTGCAAGGCGGCACAGCAAGTAGGACTCGACTCCCCATCCTGCATCGTCATCAGCAGCCGCGATCAATTCACTGCTGGATGAAGGCCTGGTGAGGTCACTTCACGAGTTGAGTTTTTGTCTATTGTGCTCGTGGATCAATGGAGCGGCAGCATCACCACAATAATTTGTCTAATTTAAACGAAACGTCGCTTTGTGTTGCACGCGGTCGGTTTTTGTTCACTCGCTATGGATGAGGTACCTCTTTAAATACAAAAAAATATATAAAACTTTAGCCTGCGACAGCCGGGAATCGAACCCGGGTCAACTGCTTGGAAGGCAGCTATGCTCACCACTATACCACTGTCGCTGTTGCTGTTGATCAATTCATCATCATCATCACGATCATCATCACCATCTCGATCATCACCACCATCACCATCTCGATCATCACCACCATTATCACCATCACGATCATCGTCACCACCATCATCACCACCATCATCACCATCACGATCATCACCACCGTCACCCACACCACCATCATCACCACCATCACGATCATCATCACGATCATCATCACCACCACCACCACCACCGTCATCATCATCATCACCACCATCATCATCACCACAACCATCACCACCATCATAACCACCACCATTAATATCATCACCACCATCACCACCACCACCATAACCAGATACAGGGTACACACTTTATTATTGATTGATTCATTTATTTTCCAGCTGAGATTGATTCAGGACGTCATCTCCGAGTGGTCATTTTGTTTTTATTCATCGCAGGATCGAGATGGGGGCAACGGGTTTGGGAAAGAGGAGCCCTTCAATCCAGCAGTGGATTGAGCCTGACTGGTTATGGTGGTGGTGGTGATGTTGATGATGATGTTGAAGGTGATGATGATGAGTGGGTCAACCGCAAGCTACACAACAGCAACAGCGACAGTGGTATAGTGGTGAGCATAGCTGCCTTCCAAGCAGTTGACCCGGGTTCGATTCCCGGCTGTCGCAGTGAGCATCGTATATTTTGATTTGTCCGAGTTGAACTCAGATGGAGAGAGAAGTCACAGTTGGGAGTGTCTCGTGCAAGGACGGCACAGCAAGTAGGACTCCCAATCCTGCATCGTCATCAGCAGCCGCGATCAATCCACTGCTGGATTAAGGATCATACAAACTCCATTCACTCTGTAGAACAGGGGGATGAGGTACCTCTTTAAATACAAAAAACTTTAGCTTGCGACAGCCGGGAATCGAACCCGGGTCAACTGCTTGGAAGGCAGCTATGCTCACCACTATACCACTGTCGCTGTTGTTAAAAAGCAGCTTACTGTTGACCCACTCATCATCATCAGCCAGGCTAAATCCACTGCTGGATGAAGGCCTCCTCTTCCCAAAATCCGTTTCCACCCTCTCGCGCCAGCGATGGAACAAAAAATCACCACTTGAAGATGACCTAAATCCCACATCGCATCGGACCCCCGGCACAGGAGGATCGGCAGCAGACCGCCGTCACCCCCCCCCCTCCCCCGATGGAGCTGTTCCGAGCCCCATGTGCTCGCCCCCCCCACCCCCACCCGCCGCAGTGCCACCACTCAGCCACACGGGGGCGCGCGCGAGACGCTGCCGGCGCGTGACGCGGGTGTTGTGACGCGCTAAGGCGCCGCTTGGCCACGCCCACACCGCACCAGCCACACTCGGCCGCACGGGATAACCACAGCGCGCTAAACCACCGTGCCACAGACTTCCACCTCTCGTGCCGGATTGTCCTTGACGGCAAAAGTTGCTGTGAATGCAACGTGGCCCACTCACTTTGAAGGGCCCAGCGCTAAACGCTTTCGAGCTCCGGTTCGGCTATTCTGCACTTGCTCTATTACTATAGTACTATACCGCCTTCAACTTTTATGAACGACTGGGTGTTTTAGGTTAGCGATTTGTCGTATTATCTGGCTGTATAGTAAATTTTTAAAATACAATTATTTTACTGTGCAAGTAAAAAAAATGTGTTTAATATTTACTTTAATTTTTAATTTAGGGCCCCTTTTTAACATTTGCTACAGGCCCCGCACTTAGCTTCATCCGGCACTGCTCCCCTCGCACTCCTGAGGCAAGCACCCCAACCACCGCACCACCGCACACACGATGTCCGCGCTCCCCCACACCGCACCAGTCGCAGGATCGCGACTCCACGACACGGAGGCCCACAGATACATCCCGCGTAACGTCCAGTGCCGGATGAAGCTTGGTGCGGGGCCTGTAGCATGTTGTTATAAAGGGGCCATGAATTTTAACAAAACGTAAATATTAAAACACAATTCTTTTTTACTTGCATAGTTAAGTAATTTAATTTTTTTCATTTTGCTTATTTAAGCCGAGCTCAACAAAAGCCATCTTTGGACGAAACGATAATCTAACGGCCGTGTGCACGACTGAGTGGGAGTCTGACAAAACACCAAACAGGAAGGGAAAAATATCATTTCACAAGTTAACCCGATTAGGAATCATAATAGTGACACGTCAATAAAAGTCCACAGCTGTTCAAATCCTTTACATTTTTATTTGATTCAAGTTTGAACGCTGTGTGTGTCTTGGTGTCTTGGTGGGGAGCGGTGGTGTAGTGGTTAGTGCGCTGTGCTACAAACCCGGCGACCCGAGTTTGATTCCCGCTCACGGCCAACATCAATGACGATTATCTGAACCGGTCCTGGGCTTTCCCTAGGTCGACTTAGCCACAAATCAATACCTGATGCGGTGTGTAAAAACATCACCACTGGGGAGACAAAGGCGGCTGGGCGTGGTACCGGCCTTCATAGGTGCTGCTCGCTAACAGCACTTGCCCCAACAGTCTATTCTGGCTACACGGGGGATCTTTGTCTTGTGTGTGCGTGTGTATACACGTGCGTGTTTGGCCGCATAGAGGGGGCTAAATGGGCACAAGGGCTGGAGAGGAGATGGACTGATGCAGTACAGGAGAATGTGGAGCCGAGTGGACTTGCCGAATACTGGTAATAAGGGTGTCAATATCGGCCTCTATGGAGGAGGCTCGTGAAAGCCGCTACTGAGCAGTTGGAGGCAGTCGCCCACCAAAAACAGGGCAGAGGAGCGACGCTCACAACAACAAGCGGAGCGCCAGATGGCTAAAATGCAGAAAGTTAGCACAGTATGGGGTACAGCTGGTGCATCTACCAGTCATATCGGTCAGCCAACCCATAGCAACTGGGTCTGGCCCGTGACCTCCTGTCAGCGAGCCTTTGACACTTCACGTGACCTCAAAGTGCACCTAGCCTGGCATAGGTGCTGTGCTGACGTCACCATCACTTAGTGGCGATTGGCGGTTGCATTGGTATTGGGGAGTGGTGGTGTAGCGGTGAGTGCGCTGCTCCTCTGAACCTGGCCGCCTGAGTGAGCGTGCGTGTGAGTCCGTGTACGTGCGCGTGTCTGCATGCGTGCTGTACGGGGCGGGGACCCTCAGTCGTCCTTGCGAGCGTCCCCCAGCGCACGCAGCCTCTCGAGTAGCGGTGGGTGCGAGTATCGCCAAGCCGAGTAGAGCCAGTCGGCCACGGGCAGTCCCAGGTTGTCGCTGCTCAGCTTGACGAGCGCCGAGCGGAGGGCCGTCGCCCGCCCCAGTGAGGCCGCGAACGCATCGGCGGCGAACTCGAAACGTCGGCTCAGCACCGTCAGCACCACAGACAGCAGCTACGGTCAAACGCGCGCACACACACACGCACCAATACCAATAACCACCATTTTCCACTAAGTGACGGTGACGTTACCAAGAAGCCTGTGGCAGGCCAGGTGCACCTTGAGGCCACGTGAGGTCTCGAACACCCGCTGGCAGGTCACGGGACAGACCCAGATGCCACAGGTCGACTGACTGAGACGACTGGCTGATGCACCAGCTGTGCCCCCTACTGTGCTAACTTGCTGTGCTTTAGCCACCCTGCGCTCCGCTCGTTGTTGTGAGCGTGGCTCCTCCTCCCTCCGTTGTTGTTGGAGGGTGACTGCCTCCAACTGCCCAGTAGCGTCCTTCACGAGCCTCCTCCACAGAGGCCGATCTTGACACCGCTGGTGCCAGTCATCGGCAAGTCCACTCAGCTCCACGTCCTCCTGTACCACATCACTCCATCTCTTCTCTAGCCCGTGCCGTGCCCCCTCTAGCCCCCTCTATCTGCCCCAACAAAAGCTGTTTAGGCATGCGGTGGCTGGGCATGCGAGCTACATGACCCAGCCAATACAGCTGGAGGAGTACACTGATGGGACTTTGTCCAGATCTTTCAAAGATTTGTGAGCTCCTTACACAATCCAGCCTGGTTAAACCCAGGATAGATCGTAGGCAGGCCACTCTAAATGCTTCTAACCAGCGAAGATGTTCCATTAGGGGGGTCCACGTTTCGCAAGCGTAGAGAATGAGAGCATGACTCTGGCCGAGAAGGCCCGAAGCTTCGTGTGGAGCGACAGACCAGGTAGCTTCCATAATTGCACTCAACTGATTCGGAGTGAGACCTCTGCTGTCAAACCGGAGCTGGTCATAAGCACACTGTCCAGGTATGGAAAACTCTCCACAACTGCCCCATGACCAATGGGGAGTTGAGGGGGTGGAGTGCTTGGTGGCACAAAATACCCAGGCCGGTGCTTAGTTTTGGTGGGGTTTATGGTAAGGCCCCACCTCTTAGTGAAAGGTTCAGCAGCAGCACTTCCAACTCCTCCTCTGAGTTAGCAGCAATCACCAAATCATTAGCATACCTAAAATAGTTGACCATAGGGAGCCATCCTTTGACTGCGCTCAGGCATTGATGAGCCTCCAATTGGAGGGGGTTGGTGGCCAACACCACGCCCGGCCGTCTTTGTCTCCCCAGTGACGATGTTTACGACACACCGCTACACCAGCTACTCATTTGAGGCCGAGTCGATCTAAGGGAGGCCCAGAACCGGTTCAGATAATCGTCACCGGTGTTGGTGGTGGTGAGCAGGAGTCGAACTCGGGTCCCTGCCGGGTTCGAAGCGCAGCGTAGCGCTAACCACTGCGCCACCACTCAATCGTACACACACACGTTCACTCACACGCACTCACACATGCGTTAATTTATACACGCATTCACGCACACACACGTTCACGCACACGTGTTCACTTTCACACGTTCACTCACGCACGCGTTCACTCACACACGCGCACACGTGTTCACTTTCACGCGCTCACTCACGCACGCATTCACTCACACACGCACGCATTCACTCACACACGCGCACACGTGTTCACTTTCACGCGCTCACTCACGCACGCATTCACTCACACACGCACGCGTTCACTCACACACGCGCACACGTGTTCACTTTCACGCGCTCACTCACGCACGCATTCACTCACACACGCACGCATTCACTCACACACGCGCACACGTGTTCACTTTCACGCGCTCACTCACGCACGCGTTCACTCACACACGCGCACACGTGTTCACTTTCACGCGCTCACTCACGCACGCGTTCACTCACACACGCGCATGCGTGTTCACTTTCACGCGCTCACTGACGCTAACTCTGTCACTCCCTCATCAGCTGGGCCCCCACCCGCACCTCGTTGTAGGGAGAGAAGACGAACTGGAAGATGATGATGAGGCCAATCAAAGTGGGCTGCTCGTCGTGGAAGCCGAAGGCGGCGAAGAGCTCGGGGCGGCCGATCAGAGCGGCGAACAGAGAGAAGCACAGCAGGGAGTTCACCTGCACACGTGCGCACACAGACATACACACAGACACAGACACACACAGACACACACACAGACACACAGACACACACACAGACACACACACACAGACACACACACAGACACACACACACAGACACAACACACACACACAGACACAGAGACACACTGACAAAACAAAGACACACAGACACACACACACAGACAAAACAAAGACACACACACACACACAGAGACACACACACAGACACGCACACACAGACACACACACAGAGACACAGAGACACACACAGAGACACACACACAGACACACAGAGACACACACAGAGACATGCACAGACACACACAGAGACACACACACAGACACACACACACACAGACACAGAGACACACAGACAAAACAAAGACACAGACACACAGACAAAACAAAGACACACAGACACACGCACAGAGATACACACACAGACACACACACAGACACACAGACCAAACAAAGACACACAGACACACACACAGAGACACACAGAGACACGCACAGACACACACAAAGACACACACACAGAGACACAGACACACACAGACATGCACATACAGACACACACACACACAGACACACACACACAGAGACACACACACACAGACGCACAAAGACGGTGGCGACACGTTAACTACCTCGCCTCATTTGCAGGAGGTCGTGAGATCGACCTAGAGGAGGCCCAGGCACCGGTTCAGATCATCATCATTGGCGGTGTTGGCGGCCGTGGGGGGGAATCGAACTCGGGTCGCCGGGTTCGTAGCGTAGCGCTAACCGCTAGGAAATTGATTTTGCGCTTGAACCAATTTCCTTTATGATAGAAATTATGACATCACACGTTGCAGGCACCTCATGATTGGTAGACATGAAACGACGCGTAGTGATGGGTTGTGGGGTCTGACATTTGAGAAGCCCTGTCGTACAGAGTGTGTTGTATATGTTCATGAGTTTTCTAGTTTTTCATCAAGCACCGCTACCAATATAACCGCCATTCGCCACTAAGTGACGGTGACGTCACCACGTCGCCTGTGCCAGGCTAGGTGCACTTTGAGGCTGTCACGTGAAGTGTCGAAGGCTCTCTGGCTGACAGGAGGTCAGGTGCCGTGGGTCGTCTGACCGAGATGACCGGCAGATGCACCACCACCAGCTGTACCCCCTGCTGTGCCAGGCTAGGTGCAGGGGGTCACGGGATAGACCCAGCAGGTGCCATAGGTTGTCTGACTGAAATGACCGGCAGATGCACCACCACCAGCTGTACCCCCCTACTGTGCCAACTCGCTGCATTTTAGCCGCCCGGCTCTCCGCTCGTTGTTGTGAGCGTCGCTCCTCTGCCCTCCGTTGTTGGTGGAGGGCGACTGCCTCCAACTGCCCAGTAGCGTCCTTCACGAGCCTCCTCCTCCATAAAGCACCACCACATACATACAAACACACGGAGTACACGCATGTGCAAGACGTGACCAGGCGCGCCCGCGTCCACTCGCCTGGCTGATGACGAGGTTCTTGGTGGTGTGACCCAGTTTCCAGTGGCCAAGTTCATGGCCTAAGACAGCCAGCACCTCCTCATTGGAGCAGCCGAGCTGATGACATCATCATCATTAACATCGTCATCATCATCATTATCTCATCATTAACATCGCCATCGTCATTAACATCATTACTATTGTCATTACCATCATCATCGCCATCATCATCATCGTTATCATCGTCGTCATTAACATCGCCATCGTCATTAACATTGTCATTAACATTAACATCATTAACATCATGAACATCATTAACATTAATATCAACATACACACAACAACAACAACCGCCATTCGCCACTAAGTGGCGGTGACGTCACCACGATGCTTGTGCCAGGCCAAGTGCACCTTGAGGCCACGTGAAGTGTCGAACGCCCGCTGGCAGGAGGTCACGGGGCAGACCCAGGTGCCACGGGTCGACTGACCGAGATGACCGAGATGACTGGCTGATGCACCACCTGTGCCCCCTACTGTACCAACTTGCTGTGCTTTAGCCACCCGGCGCTCCGCTCGTTGTTGTGAGCGTCGCTCCTCCGCCCTCTGTTGTTGTTGGAGGGCGACTGCCTCCAACTGCCCAGTAGCGTCCTTCACGAGCCTCCTCCACTGAGGCCGATTTTGACACCGCTGGTACCAGTCATCGGCAAGTCCACTCAGCTCCACGTCCTCCTGTACCACATCACTCCATCTCTTCTCTAGCCCGTGCCGCGCCCGTCTAGCCCCCTCGATCCGGCCGAACAAAAGCTGTTTAGGCATGCGGTGGCTGGGCATGCGGGCTACATGACCCAGCCAACGCAGCCTTGCCTGCCGGAGGAGCTCACTGATGGGACTTTGCCCAGATCTTTCAAGGATTTGTGAGCTCCTCACACAATCCAGCCTGGTTAAACCCAGGATGGATCGTAGACAGGCCAGCCTAAATGTTTCCAACCGGCGAAGATGATTCACTAGGGGGGTCCACGTTTCGCAAGCGTAGAGAAGGGAGGGAATGACCGTGGCCGAGAAGACCTGAAGCTTCGTGCGGAGCGACAGACCAGGTAGCTTCCACACAGCGTTACGCAACCGATGAAAAGATATTGCCGCTCGACTGATTCGGAGTGAGACCTCTGCTGATAAACTGGAGCCGGTCATAAGCACACTGCCCAGGTATGGGAAACCTTCCACTCTCTCCACAACTGCCCCATCACCAATTGGGAGTTGTGGGGGTGGAGTGTCCGATGGTACAAAATACCCAGGCAGGTGCTTAGTTTTGGTGGGGCTGATGGTAAGGCCCCACCTCTTAGTGGCACGCTCCAGTCTCAGCAGCAGCGTCTCCAACTCCTCTTCTGAATGAGCAGCTATTACCAAATCATCGGCATACATAACGTGGTTGACCAATAGGGAGCCATCCCTTGATCGCACCCGGGCATCGATCAGCCTCCCATTATATCTGTACCAAATGGAAATTCCTCCGGTACAGCTATTGAAGGCTTCACGAACTACGTGGTCAAAATAGATGTTAAATAATGTGGGAGCCAGAGGACATCCCTGTCGCACCCCAAGGTGTACAGGGAAAGGCTCCGACTCCCGGCCACGTGGTTTTACCCGGGCCCGCTCACCATCATGAAGGTCCTCAATGATCATGAGCAGAGGGTCAGGGACTCCGAAAGCACGAAGAACAACCCAGAGCCCAGTCCTACTGATGGTATCATAGGCCTTGACCAGGTCAATAAAGCAGAGATGTAGGTCTTTTTGGAATTCCCTACACCTCTGCTGTAGCAGACGGACAGAAAATATGGCATCTGTGCAGGACCGCCCTTTCCTGAAACCGCATTGAGGCTCCGCAAGCCTCTCCTCAGCGTGCCTAGCAAGGCGATGTTGAATAATCCTTGCCAGGACCTTACCCGGCACACTGAGGAGTGAGATGCCCCTGTAGTTGTTACAGTCGGTACGGTCCCCCTTTTTAAAGAGGGGGACCACCAGGGCATCCTTCCAGTCCTGCGGAACCCGTCCAGTGGTCCAGACTGTTGTTATGATGTCATATAGGGCAGTCTGTGCACAAACGCCACCCTCCCTCAGCATTTCGCTTGGGAGATCATCTCTGCCCGGTGCCTTCCCTGGTCTCAGACTCCGGATCGCCCTCAGTACTTCCTCAACAGCTGGCACCTCAGCCAGCCACTCACAGGGGGTGACCTCTTCCAATATTTGAGGCACCGCAGCCTCAGCAGGGTTATCACCACTTTGTGCCATGATGTTTTCCTGGCTGAGAGAATTTCCCTCCCCCAGGACCTCACAGAAATGCTCAGCAAATCTGCAAACCTGTTCCTGGGGGTCGGAGATTGGATCACCGTTTTTTCCTCTAATGATGGTAATAGGTGTGGCGCTGCAGGTTACTTTTTTGATGGAGTTAACACACACACACTACAACACACACACTACAACATACACATACACACACTACAACATACACACACACACTACAACACACACACACTACAACATACACACATACACACACTACAACACACACACTACAACACACACACACTACAACACACACACACTACAACACACACACACTACAACACACACACACTACAACACACACACACTACAACACACACACACTACAACACACACACACTACAACACACACACACACACTACAACATACACACACACACACTACAACACACACACACACAAGTACATAGAGGAATAGTCACCTTGGCATCTTTCTTCTCCTTAGGCTCCTCCCCCTTCCCCTGTGGCTCCTCCCCCTTCCCCTGGGGCACCTCCCCCTGCGGCTCCTTCCCCAGTGACTCCTCCCCCTTCCCCTGTGGCTCCTCCCCCTTTGGCTCCTCCCCCTTCCCCTTTGGCTCCTCCCCCTGTAGCTCCTCCCCCTCCCCCTGGGGCTCCACCCCCTTTGCGAGCAGCGTGTCGAACAGCACGATCCTCTTGTTTTTGTAGAATCCGTAGAAGTAGGCGTTGCTGTGCGACGAGCGCTTGGAACCTGGGGCGAGGCACGGGGGGGGGGGGGTGACCAATCTATCACCACCACCGCCATCATCACAATCGCCGTCATCACAATCATCGTCATCACTGTCACAATCATCGTCGCCACAATCGTCGTTGTCACAATCATCGTCATCACAATCATAATCATCACAATCATCGTCATTACAATCATCATCATCACAATCATCATCATCATCATCACAATCATCGTCACAATCATCGTCATCACAATCATCATCACAATCATCATCACAATCATCATCATCATCATCACAATCATCATCACAATCATCGTCATCACTGTCACAATCATCGTCGTCACAATCATCGTCACCGTCACAATCATCGTCGTCACAATCATCATCGTCACAATCATCGTCATCACAATCATCATCGTCACAATCATCGTCATCACAATCATCGTCATCACAATCATCGTCATCACAATCATCGTCACAATCATCGTCGTCACAATCATCACCATCATCACAATCATCATCATCATCACAATCAACATCACAATCATCATCATCATCATCACAATCATCATCACAATCGTCATCATCACAATCGTCATCATCACAATCATCATCGTCACAATCATCGTCACAATCATCGTCATCACTGTCACAATCATCGTCGTCGCCACCATGTGACTGCTGCTGCTGCCCTCAACGTGCGGAGGGGGGGATGTGGGAAGGGAGCAGGCGGTGGGGGGGTGGGTGGCACATAGTGGGGGGCCCATGGGGGCACACGGGTGGGGGGCCCATGGGGACACACGGGTGGGGGGGGGCACGCTGGGGGGGGGGGGCACCTTCTACGACGTAGATCTTGGTGAGGGGGAAAGCGATGGACGCGGCCATGGACTCGATTTCACGGCGGAGGGGGCCGTCTGGGAGGGGTGTGAAGCGGTCGAACAGCGGAGCGATGTAGTCCGCGTAGACCGTGATCAGCAGCTGGGGGCAGACGCGGGGAGGGGGTGAGAGACACGCCGGCGTGCTGCACTAGTATACTACACTATACACTACACTACACACTACACTACTATACACTACACTATACACTACACTACTATACACTAGGCTATACACCACTACTACACACTACTTTACACTACACTATACACTACACTACTATACACTACGCTATACACTACTATACACTACACTATACACTACACTACTATACACTACACTATACACTACACACTAAAAACTAGTGCTGTACTATACACTACACTATACACTACACTACTATACACTACGCTATACACTACTATACACTACACTATACACTACACTACACACTAAAAACTAGTGCTGTACTAGTACACTACACTATACACTACACTATACACTACTATACACTACACTACTATACACTACACTACACACTACACACTAGTGCTGGACTAGTATACTACACTATACACGACACTATACACTATACACTACACTATACACTAGTGCTGTATTAGTATACTACACTATACACTACACTATACACTACACTACTATACACTACATTATACACTACACTACTATACACTACACTATACACTACACTACTATACACTACATTATTCACTACACTACTATACACTACACTATACACTACACTATACACTACACTATACACTAGTGCTGTATTAGTACACTACACTATACACTACACTATACACTACACTATACACTACACTATACACTAGTGCTGTATTAGTATACTACACTATACACTACACCATACACTACACTACACACTAGTGCTGTACTAGTATACTACACTATACACAGAGACCCACAGACTTCATCCCACCCATAAACGGCAGAGCGCTTACGAGTGTGACGAGCAGAGTGAAGGCCCAGGCATAGAGGAAGAAGAGCGGCCCGCCCCGCTGGATGATGTGCAGAAGCAGCGAGGATATGGGCAGCACGATCATCTGCATCACCACCAGCTTCTTCAGCTGATCCTTCAGGAAGAACCCCAGAGTCTGCGTGGTGTCCATGGTGTCCGTGGTGTCCGTGCGTGCGTGTGTGGAGAGAGGCACACGGAGGGACAAGGACAGAGGGGAGGGAGGAGGGGAGGGAGGGATAGGGAGGGAGGGAGGGATGGAAAATGTGTCAATGCAAGATTTTTTTCATTTAAAAAAAATTTAACCCGTAAAAACAAAGTTTTTCACTATAAATCCTTTATATGCGTGGCATCGGTTTTATTTTATTATTCATTTCTGTTTTTCTTGAGTAAGAGTTTCATTTTTATCGCATTGGTATTTTAAATTAAATATGACAATTTATTTTTCCTAAAAAGTGGAAAATTTTGGAAAAAAATTTTCACGAAAATACATTGTCACGCACAACGAGTCTGTGTGCAAAATGTCAGCTCGATTGGATCACGGGAAGTGGGTTAAAAAACGACCGAAAGATTTGCACGGTCCTAAGCGCACAAAAGCAAGCAAGTGAACTTAATATAAAGGATTTATAAAGGCCATAAAAGCCACAAATTTAAAACAAAAAAGCCGACGTGACGAACGGAGCAAAGTGCCAAATTGCCGAGCACGATTTTGCCTCTTCTGATCGAACAAAAATAAGGAGGGAGGGACAAGGAGGGAGAGACAGAGACCATAGACTCACTGCACTAGAGGAGCCGGTTGTGATGGTGGTGGTGTTGATGGTGGTGGTGGTGATGATGATGATACGGGTGGTGATGATGATACGGGTGGTGATGGTAGTGGTGATGATGGTGATGGTAGTGGTGATGATGGTGATGGTAGTGGTGATGATGATGGTAGTGGTGATGATGGTAGTGATGATGATGGTAGTGATGATGATGGTGGTGATGATGATGGTAGTGATGATGATGATGATGATGATCGTAGTGGTGATGATGATGGTGGTGGTAGTGGTGATGATGATCGTAGTGATGGTGGTGGTGATGATGATGGTGGTGTTGATGATGATGTTGATGATGGTGGTGGTGATGATGTTGATGATGGTGGTGATGATGATGGTGGTGGTAGTGGTGATGGTGGTGGTAGCGTTGATGATGATTATGTTGATGATGGTGGTGATGATGGTTGTGATGGTGGTGGTGATGGTGGTGATGATGTTGATGATGATGGTGGTGGTGATGATGATGATGGTGGTGGTAGTGGTGATTATGGTGGTGGTAGCGTTGATGATGATGATGTTGATGATGATGGTGGTGATGATGATGATGGTGGTGGAGCTAGACAACGGCATGAATAGGAAGACGGCGGATTTGACGGGAGCGATCGAGGGGTCAAGCGATCGATCGCAAGACACAGTGACAGACCCCACCCCACCTGCTTGTTGAACCCGTGGCGCTCCTCCACCACGAAGTTGCCGTACAGGGACCAGGGCAGCGAGGTGGCGGCAGAGAAGAGCGACGCCAGCAGCAGGAAGAGGCACGAGCGTGACACCTGCGGCGGCCAGCGCACAAAGACAAAGATGCCCCCCCAATATATCTAGAATTGAAGCTTTCGCGACTGCGGTAAAGTCACGTGCGTGGAAATGAAATATGAATGAAATAAAATCAGATTAAAATAAATCGCGACGTTTTCAGCGCAACGCAAGCGCTCACCATCACGTGGCCTGAAAGTGCACATAGCCTGGCACAGGGCGCCGTGGTGTCGTCACCGCTACTTAGCGGCATCACGGTGGCTAGGAGATGTTGACTACCTCGCCTGGTGAACAGGAGGTCGTGGGTTCGATCCCGACCCTGACGATGCCTGCGGCTGAATATTTGGCGTCTCTCTCTCTCTCCCTGTGGCGTGTGGATTTTTCTCTGGGTCCTGAGGTTTTTTTCCCTCCACGTTCAGAATCAACATCGCCGCGCATTCAGCTGGCTGCTGCTGTAAATTGCCACGTGATGATGATGATGAGCCCACTTCGTTGAGCTGCGATCGTTCGCGACGACCAAAGTCGCTTCTGACAGGGAGCTCAGTGGGGGCTTTGCCTGGTCAAATAAAAAATTAACCCGTAAAACTAAGTTTTTCACTCTAAATCCTTTATATGCGTGGCGGCTAGAGTCCTCTCGTCCTCTGGCTTGAGATGGCTGCCACCTATGGGTCAGATGATTGCATTGCACCATTAAGCAATTGGTAATTAAATATAATATTTTTGTCCTAAAAATTGTAAAATTTTGGAAAAAAAATTTCACGAACATTAATTGTCACGCACAACGAGTCTGTGTGGAAAATGTCAGCTCGATTGGATCACAGGAAGTGGGTTAAAAAACGACCGAAAGATTTGCACGGTCGTAAGCAAGCAAGCGAACTTAATATAAAGGATTTAAAAATGGTAGCAGTTAAAGAGTTCAGTGGCGAACAGCTGCGGTTGTTGTTGTTGATGTTTCATTACCTCATAGTCAGCCGAGTAGCCCAGCCTCCGTACGAGGTCTCCAGTGAAGCTCCACAGATAGGGGATTCCGCCCAGCAGCAGGATCAACTAACAGACACACAGACAAAGACACGTTCCCCAACCCGGATAGCCTTTCGTAGGACGCTGGGGCAAGGGCTGTCTGCGAGCAGCAGGACCCGTGAAGGTTGGCACGGCGCACGAGGGGGTGGGTCGGTGGTGTCTAGAATAGTCTAATAATGTAGAGCATAGTAGTGTATAGTGTAGCGGTGTATAGTGTAGTAGTGTATAGTGTAGTGTATAGTGTAGTAGTAGTAGTGTATAGTGCAGTGTAGTGGTGTATAGTGTAGTAGTGTATAGTGTAGTAGTGTATAATGTAGTGCAGTGGTGTATAGTGTAGTGGTGTATAGTGTAGTGTAATGGTGTATAGTGTAGTGTAGTGGTGTATAGTGTAGTGTAGTAGTGTATAGTGTAGTGTAGTAGTGTATAATGTAGTGCAGTGGAGTCTAGCGTAGTGATGTATAGTCTATTCTAGTGGAGTTGTATGTAGTCTAGCGTAGTGGAGTATAGTGTTGTGGTGTATAGTGTAGTGGAGTTGTGTGTAGTCTATTCTAGCGTAGTTGTGTGTAGTCTAGTGTAGTGGAGTATAGTCTGGTGTAGTGTGGTCTAGCGTAGGGGCGTAGAGGCTCACGGTGGACTCTATCTGCGAGTAGAGGTTGGAGACGCTGCCGAAGGCGCCCTTGTCCAGCTGGTAGCTCCGCGCCTTGAGCAGCGTCTCCTGGGTCAGCGAGGAGCCCACCAACTCCGGTGGAACCGTGAGCGTGGAGAGGTGGACACGGCGCTGGGGTACACGCATCGGGCGACATACAGGGGGAGAAGCAACAACATCAACCGCCATTCGCCACGTAGTGGCGGCGACGTCACCACGGCGCTTCAAGTCAGGCCATGTGCACTTTAAGGCCACGTGAAGTGTCGAACGCCCGCTGGCAGGAGGTCGTGGGACAGACCCAGGTGCCATGGGTTGACTGATCGAGATGACTGGCTGATGCACCACCTGTGCCCCCTACTGTGCCAACTTGCTGTGCTTTAGCCACCCGGCGCTCCGCTTGTTGTTGTGAGCGTCACTCCTCCGTCCTCCGTTGTTGCTGGAGGGCAACTGCCTCCAACTGCCCAGTAGCGTCCTTCACGAGCCTCCTCCACAGAGGCCGATCTTGACGCCGTTGGTACCAGTCATCGGCAAGTCCACTCAGCTCCACGTCCTCCTGTACCACATCACTCCATCTCTTCTCTAGCCAGTGCCGTACCCGTTTAGCCCCCTCTATCCAGCCAAACAAAAGCTGTTTAGGTATGTAGTAGTTGGGCACGCAGACTACACGACTCAGTCAACACAGCCTTGCCTGCCGGAGAAGCTCACTGATGGGACGTTGTCCAGATCTTTCAAGGATTTGTGAGCTCCTCACACAATCCAGCCTGGTTAAACCCAGGATAGATCCTAGGCAGGCAACTCTAAATGCTTCTAACCAGCGAAGATACTCCATTACGGGAGTCCACGTTTCACAAGCGTAGAGAAGAGAGAGCATGACTGGCCGAGAAGGCCCGCAGCTTCGTGCGGAGCAACAGACCACGCGGGGAGACACACATAGACACACATACTCACACACACGAGGTGATACACACACAGACACACACACATACTCACACATGCGGGGTCACACACAATCACATAGACTCACACACGCGGGGAGACACACACACAGACATACACACAGACACACACACAGACTCACACATGCGGGGTCACACACTATGGACACAGCAGTGCATAGGCCGTGTGTCTGTGTGTGTGTCTGTCAGTGTGTGTGTCTGTGTGTGTGTCAGTGTCTGTGTGTGTGTCCGTGTGTATCTGTGTGTGTGTCCGTGTGTATCTGTGTGTGTGTCTGTCTGTGTGTGTGTCCGTGTGTATCCGTGTATATCTGTGTGTGTCTGTCTGTGTGTGTGTATCTGTGTCTGTATCTGTGTGTGTATCTGTGTGTGTCTGTGTGTGTGTCCGTGTATATCTGTGTGTGTGTATCTGTGTATATCTGTGTGTATATCCGTGTGTATCTGTATGTCTCTGTGGTGCGACAGGGAGCGTCGTCCCTTCTCTCCCCCCCCCACCCCCAGCCACCTGGCGGCGGTAGAGCAGCGCCTCCCAGGCGAACACGAGCCACGAGAAGGCGACCACCGAGACGAAGATCGCCGCCTCCGCCTCCATCGCTGGTCAAGGGGCGAGTGTCCCGGGTCCCCACCGGGCAAACGCAGCCACGCCAATGGCAGGGGGGCGGGGCCTACTGTCAGCCAATCAGAACCCCGCATTCGCAAGATGGGCGGGGTTTGTATGAATCACGTGTTGATCATTGGCCAATCGGATGTGGGCATTGAATAAATTATGATAATGAGATGGGGGCGGGGCCTACTGTCAGCCAATCAGAACCCCGCATTCGCAAGATGGGCGGGGTTTGTACGAATCACGTGTTGATCACTGGCCAATCCGATGTGGGCGTTGAATAAATTATGATAATGAGATGGGGGCGGGGCCTACTGTCAGCCAATCAGAACCCCGCATTCGCGGGATGGGCGGGGTTTGTACGAATCACGTGTTGATCAGTGGCCAATCCGATGTGGGCGTTGAATAAATTATGATAATGAGATGGGGGCGTGGCGAAGGTATTGGAGGGGTGTGGTTTAAGGGAGAACGCGAGCCAATCAGAACCCCGTATCCGAGGGATGGGCGGGGTTTGTACGAATCACGTGTTGATCACTGGCCAATCCGATGTGGGCGTTGAATAAATTATGATAATGAGATGGGGGGCGGGGCGAAGGTATTAGAGGGGTGTGGTTTAAGGGAGAACGCGAGCCAATCAGAACCTCGTATTCGCGGGATGGGCGGGGTTTGTACGAATCACGTGTTGATCACTGGCCAATCCGATGTGAGCGTTGAATAAATTATGATGAGATGGGGGGCGGGGCGAAGGTATTGGAGGGGTGTGGTTTAAGGGAGATCGCAAGCCAATCAGAACCCCGTACCCGCGGGATGGGTGGGGGTTTCTCCGAAGCACGTGACGATCGCTAGCCAATCCGGTGTCGGGGTCGCATAAATTATGATGAGAAAGGGGTGTGGCCTAACGAGGGGAAATCGCTAGCCAATCAGAACACTGCATCCGCGTGATGGGGTTTTGTCCTAATGGCTGAATCTTTGTATTTGATTTATTTTCATTTTCACTATTTTATTTTTATTATTTTTTACTTTACCGAAAAAACCTAAGAGTAGTGAGTAGTCTTTGTATCGTTAAAAATCGGTCGATTCCAGTTTAGATCGAGCATTGGATCTTTAAAAACACGATTCCCGTGCCAGTATTCCTTATATGGGCAAAGCCAACGCCTCCATTACTCCATGTATGGGCATAAACCATTAACATAATTTATAATTAATTCTGCCACGGATTCCTTCTGCATTAACATAATTTATTATTCATATCGTCGTGGATTCCTTCAACTGGTGGCCACGGGAGGTAATGACAGGGGAGTCAGCCTGCAGTGCGAAGGGACTGGTGGCCAGGGGAGGTAATGACAGGGGAGTCAGCCTGCAGTGCGAAGGGACTGGTGGCCACGGGAGGTAATGACAGGGGAGTCAGCCTTCAGTGTGAGTGGACGAGTGGCCAGGGGAGTCAGCCTGCAGTGCGAAGGGACTGGTGGCCACGGGAGGTAATGACAGGGGAGTCAGCTTGCAGTACGAAGGGACTGGGCCACAGGAGGTAATGACAGGGGAGTCAGCCTGCAGTGCAAAGGGACTAGTGGCCACGGGAGGTACAGGGGAGCCAGCCTGCAGTGCGAAGGGACTGGCGGCTACGGGAGGTGATGACAGGGGAGTCAGCCTGCAGTACGAGTGGACTGGTGGTCACGGGAGGTGATGACAGGGGAGTCAGCTTGCAGTGCGAAGGGACTGGTGGCCACGGGAGGTAATGACAGGGGAGTCAGCCTGCAGTGCAAAGGGACTGGTGGCCAGGGGAGGTAATGACAGGGGAGTCAGCTTGCAGTGTGAAGGGACTGGTGGCCACGGGAGGTGATGACAGGGGAGTCAGCCTGCAGTGTGAGTGGACTAGTGGCCAGGGGAGGTAATGACAGGGGAGTCAGCCTGCAGTGTGAGTGGACTGGTGGCCACGGGAGGTAATGACAGGGGAGTCAGCCTTCAGTGTGAGTGGACGAGTGGCCAGGGGAGTCAGCCTGCAGTGCGAAGGGACTGGTGGCCACGGGAGGTAATGACAGGGGAGTCAGCTTGCAGTACGAAGGGACTGGGCCACAGGAGGTAATGACAGGGGAGTCAGCCTGCAGTGCGAAGGGACTAGTGGCCACGGGAGGTACAGGGGAGCCAGCCTGCAGTGCGAAGGGACTGGTGGCCACGGGAGGTAATGACAGGGGAGTCAGCCTGCAGTGCGAAGGGACTGGTGGCCACGGGAGGTAATGACAGGGGAGTCAGCTTGCAGTGCGAAGGGACTAGTGGCCACGGGAGGTAATGACAGGGGAGTCAGCTTGCAGTGTGAGTGGACTAGTGGCCAGGGGAGGTAATGACAGGGGAGTCAGCCTGCAGTGTGAGTGGACTAGTGGCCAGGGGAGGTGATGACAGGGGAGTCAGCCTGCAGTGCGAAGGGACTGGTGGCCACGGGAGGTGATGACAGGGGAGTCAGTTGTGTGAAGGGACTGGTGGCCACGGGAGGGAATGACAGAGGAGTCAGTTTGCAGTGTGAAGGGACCGGTGGCCATGGGAGGTAATGACAGGGGAGTCGGCTTGCAGTGTGCATGGACTAGTGGCCACGGGAGGGAATGACAGGGGAGTGAGCCTGCAGTACGAAGGGACTGGTGGCTACGTAAATGGAGAATAGGAAAGAGGACTGTGCAGTCTGCTGGTGGAGTGAGCGTCCAGTGAGTGGGAATGTTCCGGAAGGGGAGGCGTGGTCTCGGTCCGCATGTAGAGGAGTAAAATGGGGACGTGACGTCATGCATGCTGGGCAGCTCGATGACGTCATGTCTCCTCTAGTACTTAAGGGGGACCCCGTGACGAAAGCGGGGTCACTGTGGGAACGCGTAGAAGGGTAGAGAGGGAACCAGGGGTAGAGAGGGATCGAGTAGTGAGTCTGGAGAGAAGCCGGTGGTAGCCGATAGAGGTGCTTCTCTCTCTCTGGTCGGTGGAGTTGGCAGAGTCCCCGATCCAACACGAGAGACCGGAGCTAGCCAGGCAGGGACCAGGACTCAGTGTAGGACCCCCTAACCCCTGGGAGTTGTTACACCCTTGTGTTATTTGGAATATCTTTAATAAACCTTTGGCGAAAGCCCTTAACCTTCAAGCCGTCTGCAGAGTCGTCGTCGCTTAGTCCTCAACACGCACGTAAGGGAGATGCAGGGAGACCTGGGGCTCTTGCAGTGGGGCATCCGCCTGTTCGAGTGAACGTCTTCAATAAAGAAACCATCTCAAGACAAAGCGTGTCAAGTTGTCATTACACGTACACGCGTCTGCAACATACGTAGTATATATTGCATACACACGTCTGCAAAAACGCGTCGAGAGAGTATTTGGCTCCTGCTTGACATTTCCACGTGGTGATGACGATGATGATGATGAGCCCCACTTCGCGGTTGAGCTGCAAACACTTGTGACAGCCAGGCTCGCATCTTAAACAGAGCTGCTACATCGCAAGCTCGATGGGGGGGGCCCTTGGTAATATGAACAAAAAAATTTGTTTAAAAACAGTTTAGTTTATATGTTGACAAACAGGGTGGAGGCAACAAGTTCTCTCTCCATGGTACTTTCACGCAACAGCAGATCGTCCAATATATATCATCATCATCTTTTGTAGGGTGGGTGGGTGGGTGTATGAGGGTGGGTGGCAGAGGTCGCAAACGGGTTTTGATTCCTTACCCGTACCCGGCCGCACCAGGGTCGCAAACGGCTACCCGTACCCGGCTGGGTACGAGAAGCCGGGTATTGGGTAGGGTACGGGTATCGGGTACCCGGTTGCGACCTCTGGTGGGTGGGTGTGTGTGTGGGTTGGGAGCGGTGGCGGATCGGTTAGCGCTACGCTACGAACCCGGCTACCCGAGTTCGACTCCCGCTCAGGGCCAACAACACCGCCGGTGACGATTATCTGAACCGGTTCCTGGGCCTCCCCCTAGGTCGACTCGGCCTACTCAAATGAGTAGCTGGTGCGGTGCGCAGTAAACATCGCCACTGGGGAGACGAAGGCGGCCGGGCTTGGTGTTGGACACCCACCACCTCGTGTGCCACAGTGCCGGCCTTCGTAGGTGCTGCTACTCGCTAACAGCACTTGCCCCAACGGTCTGTTCGGGCTATACGGGGAGGCTCTTTGTCGTTGTGCGTGTGTGCGTACACGTGTGTACGCGTGTGTGCGCGTGTATGCGTGTGTACGTGTGTACGCGTGTGTGCGTGTACGTACGCGTGTGTGTGCGTGTGTGTACGTGTACACGTGTGTTGAACATCTCTCGCACCGTAGCCAGCCGCGCTCAGTGGCGACGCGGCAACGCAAGACACAGATGACGACAACAAGCAGCAGCTTCCAAGGAATTGAGCTGTTTCCACATCACACGACGACCATTTCCAGTTGCACATCCCGTGAACGGTGCCCCCCCCCCCCCCCTTGCCTCCCGGGGGATGGTGGCCGGGAAGGAAAAGTGGGACGTTCATCATCGTCAACATCTTCATCGTCAACATCTTCATCGTCAACATCTTCATCGGCACGAGCAAGTTTTCCCGAAGCCGGTTTTGACTTTTGAGTGTCTCATCATCATCATCATGATGATCATCAGCGGCGCCAGGCTGCGCTGGCACACTCAACTATTTTATTTTAAAACTAAACTACAACAAACGTTCTAGATGTGAAGCTTTCGTGACTGCAAGGATCCATACCCTTTGGTTCTTTCGGTAAGAACCAAAGAGTACAAAAAACTTATTTTTTAAATTTTGTATTTGAGAAGGCCCCACATGCGCTGTTATGTAGTAGCAGCACTTTTTTCAGAAGCGATCCTGGCTGTCACAAACGATCGCAGCTCAACCGCGAAGTGGGATTATCATCATCGCGTGGAAATTTATAGCGGCAGCCAAATGCTCTTGACACGCGCGATGTCGATTCAAAATGTGGAGGGGGGGGGGAAACCGGAGCACCCGGAGAAAAAAACACGCGACCATGGGGAGAGAGAGACGCAGATTCCAAATCTACAACAGGCGTCTGGGTCGGGATCGAACCCACAACCTCCTGCATACCAGGCGAGGTAGTTAACATCTCCTAGCCACCGTGATGATGATGAGAGACACACAAACTCCAAATCTACAGCAGGTGTCAGGGTCGGGATCGAACTCACGACCTCCTGCGTACCAGGCGAGGCAGTCAACATTTCCCAGCCACCGTGATGATGATGAGAGAGACACGCAAACTCCAAAAATACAGCAGCAGACGTTTGGGTCGGGATCGAACTCACGACCTCCTGTACACCAGGCGAGGCAGTCAACATCTCCTAGCCACCGTGATGATGATGAGAGAGACACACAAACTTCCAATATACAGCAGCAGGCATCAGGGTCAGGATCGAACTCACGACCTCCTGCGTACCAGGCGAGGCAGTCAACATCTCCCAGCCACCGTGATGCCACACGCCCTGCGTGGCAGCGTAGAGACACTGGCACGCTCTTCCGCGTCCCGGACTTTGCAAACGAGCGAGGTTGCGATTCGTGTTGGGATTTAGAACTTTTTAGAGGGGAGGCACGGATGAGGCGGGCGAGAGAGGGAGGTGCAGAGAGAAAGGGGGAGAGAGAGACTGAGAGAGACACAGAGAGACAGAGAGAGTGACAGCAACAGAGAGAGAGACACAGAGACAGAGAGAGGCTGAGAGAGACACAGAGAGACAGAGAGACACAGAGAAAAACACAGTGAGACTGAGAGACAAAGAAAGACAGAGAGACACAGACACAGAGAGAGACTGAGAGAGACTGAGAGACACAGAGAAAAACACAGTGAGACTGAGAGACAAAGAAAGACAGAGAGACACAGACACAGAGAGAGACTGAGAGAGACAGACAGAGACAGAGAGAGACAGAGAGACACAGAGAAAAACACAGTGAGACTGAGAGACAAAGAAAGACAGAGAGACACAGACACAGAGAGACACATAGAGAGACTGAGAGAGACAGAGAGGCAAGAGCAAAGTTGAGAGACGGGGGGGGGGGGGGGGGTTATTTATTTAGGGGGCCCTCCATCTCCAGTTGTTAGGGGGCTCAGTCTACCCACCCACGGTGTTCTGAGTGCGTGTGACACTGTGTGTGTGTGTGTCTGTGTGTCTGTGTGTGTGTCTGTGTGTGTCTGTGTGTCTGTGTGTGTGTGTGTGTGTCTGCGTGTGTGTGTGTATCTATGGGTGTGTGTCTGTGTGTGTGTATCTACGTGTGTGTGTGTATCTATGTGTGTGTGTGTCTGTGTGTGTCTGTGTGTGTCTGTCTGTGTGTCTCTGTGTGTCTGTGTGTCTGTCTGTGTGTCTGTCTGTGTGTGTGTCTGTGTGTGTCTGTGTGTATCTACGTGTGTGTGTATCTAAGTGTGCGTGTCTGTGTGTCAGTGACACTGTGTGTGTGTGTATCTACGTGTGTGTGTGTCTGTGTGTGTGTGAGTGACACTGTGTGTGTGTCTGTGTGTGTGTGTCTGTGTGTGTCTGTGTGTATCTCTGTGTATCAACGCGTGTGTGTATCTACGTGTGTGTGTGTGACACTGTGTGTGTGTGACACTGTGTGTGTGACACTGTGTGTGTGTGACACTGTGTGTGTGTGACACTGTGTGTGTGTGACACTGTGTGTGTGTGTGTGTGTCTGTGTGTGTCTGTGTGTGACTGTGTGTGTCTAGGTGTGTGTGTGTGTATCTACGTGTGTCTGTGCGAGTGTCTGTGTGTGTCTGCGTGTGTGAGTGTCTGTGTGTGTAACTACGTGTGTGTGTGTGTCTGCGTGTGTGAGTGTCTGTGTGTGTAACTACGTGTGTGTGTGTGTCTGTGTGTGTGTGTGTGTGTCTGTGTGACACTGTGTATGTCTGTGTATCTACGTGTGTGTGTATCTACATGTGTGAGTGTCTGTGTGTGTGTCTGTGTGTGTGTATCTACGTGTGTGTGTGTCTAGGTGTGTGTGTGTGTAACCGCGTGTCCACGTCATCTCTTCTCCATCTTCACCTTGGGGGGCTTCAGGAAGGATCTCTTCTCCTTGGCCGCCTTCTTCTTGCCCTGCGACTGGAATGACCGCCAGCTGTCCACGCGCCCGTCGCGACTCGCCTGCACACACGGAGAGACGTAGGGAGACGCAGGGAGACGCAGCGTGAGGCAGGGAGACGCACGGAGACACACGGTGAGGCAGGGAGACACACGGAGACACACAGTGAGGCAGGGAGACGCACGGAGACATACGGAGACACACGGAGACACACAGTGAGGCAGGGAGACGCAGGGAGACGCACGGAGACACATGGAGACACACGGAGACACACAGTGAGGCACGGTGAGGCAGGGTGAAACTCCCATTCACAAACTCACTCCCATTCACAAACTCACTCCCATTCACAAACTCACTCACACTCCCATCCACAAACTCAACTCCATTCACAAACTCACTCACACACCCAACGCACCTCAAAGTTCTTCTGCCACTCCTTTTCCTTCTTCTCCGACTCCTCCTGCTCGATCTCCTCCTCACGCTGCCGCTTCCTGAGCCACAACAGAGACGCGGTGACGTGCGGGCAAAGCTCCCCCGCGTAGCCTCCAACGCGGCGACGTTGGGGCAAGGGGGCTTTGCTAGCGGCGGCGGCCCCTACGGAGGCTACCGGCGCTGTGACACACGGGGGGACGGGGGGGGCGGGGGGAGGGGGGGCGGACATCACCACGTTCACACGCCGCTCCGTGGTATTCGTTTGAGGCTGAGTCGACCTAGGGGAGGCCCAGGGTCGAAGTTCGAACGTCCGCCGCTGTTTTGATGGCCGTGAGCTCAGCGGCGGTGACGGCGATCGTTTCAACGCCAAGTGTCGAAGGTGTCTCCCCCCCCCCCGGTGTCTCTCCCCCCCCCCCGTGTCCCACCCCCCCCGTGTCCCACCCCTGTGTGTCTCTTCCCCCCCCCCCCCCGTGTCTCCCCCCCGTGTCCCACCCCCGTGTCTCCCCCTCCCCCCGTGCCCCAACCTCTGGTGCATGTCACGAGTGGCCCTCTCCCGTTTCTTGATCTCCAGGTCAGCGAACAACTTCATGGTCTGCTTGTGTAGCGCCTTCTTGTACTGCAACAACAGCAGCAACAACAACAGCTACACCCCACACCCCTACAACAACAGCCACACCCACACACCCCTACAACTACACCCACACACCCCTACAACAACTACTACACCCACACACCCCTACAACAACAACTACTACACCCACACACCCCTACAACAACAACTACACCGACACACCCCTACAACAACAACTACACCCACACACCCCGACAACAACAACTACACCGACACACCCCGACAACAACAACTACACCCACACACACCGAAAACAACAACTACACCCACACACCCCGACAATAACAACTACACCCACACACACCGAAAACAACAACTACACCCACACACCCCGACAATAACAACTACACCCACACACCCCGACAATAACAACTACACCCACACACCCCGACAATAACAACTACACCCACACACACCGAAAACAACAACTACACCCACACACCCCGACAATAACAACTACACCCACACACCCCGACAATAACAACTACACCCACACACCCCGACAATAACAACTACACCCACACACACCGAAAACAACAACTACACCCACACACCCCGACAATAACAACTACACCCACACACCCCGACAATAACAACTACACCCACACACACCGAAAACAACAACTACACCCACACACCCCGACAATAACAACTACACCCACACACCCCGACAATAACAACTACACCCACACACACCGAAAACAACAACTACACCCACACACCCCGACAATAACAACTACACCCACACCGAAAACAACAATTACACCCACACACCCCGACAACAACAACTACTACACCCACACACCCTCCACATGAGTCTCTGTTAAACTCCACCTCTCGCCCCCCTCCCCCCTCCCCCCTCCCCCCCCCACCCCCCGCCCCCCTCCCCCCCCCGCCCCTCACCGCTTCAGGGTCGAGTTCCTCCTCCACGATCTGCGGCTTCCCCTGCTTCTTCAGCTGCTTCTTCTTCTCTTTGATCTGAGAAAGGCCACGCAGACACACAGACACACACACACACAGACACACACACAGACACACACAGATAGACACACAGACACACACACACACACAGACACACAGACACACACAGACACACACACAGACACACAGACACACACACACAGACACAACAACAACAACAACCGTCATTCGCCACTAAGTGGCGGTGACGTCACCACGATGCCACGATGCTTGTGCCAGGCCAAGTGCACCTTGAGGCCACGTGAAGTGTCGAAAGCCCGCTGGCAGGAGGTCACGGGGCAGACCCAGGTGCCACGGGTCGACTGACCGAGATGACCGAGATGACTGGCTGATGCACCACCTGTGCCCCCTACTGTGCCAACTCGCTGTGCTTTAGCCACCCGGCGCTCCGCTCGTTGTGAGCGTCGCTCCTCCGCCCTCCGTTGTTGTTGGAGGGCAACTGCCTCCAACTGCCCAGTAGCGTCCTTCACGAGCCTCCTCCACAGAGGCCGATCTTGACATCGCTGGTACCGGTCATCGGCAAGTCCACTCAGCTCCACATATACTCAACACTGCTGTTAAGGGATGCGATGGCTGGGCAAGCGGGCTACATGGCCCAGCCAACGCAGCCTTGCCTGCTGGAGGAGCTCACCGATGGGACTTTGCCCAGATATTTCAAGGATTTGTGAGCTCCTCACACAATCCTACCTGCTTAAACCCAGGATGGATCGTAGGCAGGCCAGCATAAATGTTTCCAAAAGGCGAAGATGTTCCATTAGGGGGGGTCCACGCGTCACAAGCGTAGAGAAGGGAGGGCATGACCGTGGCTGAGAAGACCTGAAGCTTCGTGCTGAGCGACAGACCAGGTAGCTTCCACACAGTGTTACGCAACCGATGAAAAGATGTCGCTCGACTGATTCGGAGACCTCTGCTGTTAAACACCCACACAGACACCCACACAGCCACCCACACAGCCACCCACACAGCCACCCACAGAGACACCCACAGACACCCACAGAGACACCCACACAGACACCCACGCAGACACCCACGCAGACACCCACGCAGACACCCACGCAGACACCCACGCAGACACCCACGCAGACACCCACAGAGACACCCACGCAGACACCCACGCAGACACCCACGCAGACACCCACGCAGACACCCACGCAGCCACCCACGCAGCCACCCACACAGACACCCACACTCCAGGAATCAACCCCAGGGAACTGGGTTAGCCTCCAGCTCGGCATTTCTGCCACGGCCCGGGGCTGTGATGGCGACTCCACTCACGTTGTGTTCCACGTGCTCCCGCGCCGCCGTGATGACCTCCAGGGCGTTCGTCTTGTGCTCCTCGTTGAGCAACGACTTGTAGGCCTTGTCCACGGCTGAGACATGCCGGGAGGGGTGGGGGAGGAAGACACGGAGAGACGCGGGGAGGGAGACACGGAGAGACACAGGGAAGAGGAGGGAGACACGGGGGGGAGGTGGAGGGAGACACGGGGAGGTGGAGGGAGACACGGGGAGGAGGAGACACGGGGAGGTGAAGGAGGGAGACACGGGGAGGAGGGAGACACGGAGAGACGCGGGGAGGGAGACACGGAGAGACACAGGGAAGAGGAGGGAGACACGGGGGGGGGAGGTGGAGGGAGACACGGGGAGGTGGAGGGAGACATGGGGAGGAGGTGGAGGGAGACACGAGGAGGAGGAGACACGGGGAGGTGAAGGAGGGAGACACGGGGAGGAGGGAGACACGGAGAGACGCGGGGAAAGAGACACGGGGAGGTGGAGGGAGACACGGGGAAGAGGAGGAGGGAGACACGGGGAGACGCGGAGAGAGAGACACGGGAGGAGGGAGACACGGGGAGGTGGAAGGAGACATGAGGAGGGAGACACGGGGAGGGGAGACATGGGGAGGTGGAGGGAGACACGAGGAGACGCGGGGAGGGAGACACGGGGAGGTGGAGGGAGACACAGGGAGGAGGAGGGAGACACGAGGAGGAGGAGGGAGACACGGGGAGGTGGAGGGAGACACGGGGGGGAGGTGGAGGGAGACACGGGGGGAAGGTGGAGGGAGACACGGGGAGGTGGAGAGAGACACGCAGTTACGCAACGAAGAGTGGCGATGATGCCGCGTCTTCCGCGGCTGTATCGCAGCTTTCAGGACGTTAACAAGAGTCAGAGTGAGGGTGGCACAGCAGCCGTGAACAGCTGTGACGTGACCGGGTGGGGGGGGAGTGCACAGCGCTGGGCAGGCAGCGTCACGGTGGCTAGATGTTGACTACCTCGCCTGGTACGTAGGAGGTCGTGGGTTCGATCCCGAGCCTGACGATGCCTGCTGCTGTAGATTTGGAGTCTGCGTGTCTCTCTCTCTCCCCGTGGTCGCGAGGATTTTTCTCCAGGTCCTTTCGGTTTGTCCCCTCCACGTTTAGAATCAAAGTCACGCGTTTATAGAATTTGGCTTCTGCTATAAATGTCCACGTGATAATGATGATGATAAGCCCACTACATTGAGCTACCATTTGTGATAATCATTCAGAGCTCGCGGGCAACTCTGTGGGCCTTACTTGGTAAAATAAAAAGTTTAGTTTCAGTACGGGTCTATGAGTGTGGGTTTCTGGGGGTCTCTGCGGGTCTCTGCAGGTCTCTGCGGGTCTCTGTGGGTCTCTGCGGGTCTCTGCGGGTCTCTGTGGGTCTCTGTGGGTCTCTGCGAGTCTCTGCGGGCCTCTGTGGGTCTCTGTGGGTCTCTGTGGGTCTCTGTAGGTCTCTGCGGGCGTCTGTGGGTCTTTGTGGGTCTCTGTGGGTCTTTGTGGGTCTCTGCGGGCCTCTGTGGGTCTCTGTGGGTCTCTGCGGGTCTCTGCGGGTCTCTGCGGGTCTCTGTAGGTCTCTGCGGGCGTCTGTGGGTCTTTGTGGGTCTTTGTGGGTCTCTGTGGGTCTCTGTGGGTCTCTGTGGGTCTCTGTGGGTCTCTGTGGGTCTCTGTGGGTCTCTGCGGGTCTCTGCGGGTCTCTGCGGGTCTCTGCGGGTCTTTGTGGGTCTCTGCGGGCCTCTGTGGGTCTCTGCGGGTCTCTTCGGGCCTCTGTGGGTCTCTGTGGGTCTCTGTAGGTCTCTGCGGGCGTCTGTGGGTCTCTGTGGGTGTCTCTGTGGGTCTCTCTGTATGGGTCTCGATAGGCCAGCTTCTCCTCTGATAAACGAGCGAACATAGCAACTCAATCGGGCCCTCACCTGGCCAAACCAATGCAAACTGCCGGTAGTTTTTGTTTACATTTGGGAGCACCGACCAAGCCACGGCCGCCCGGGAGGCCGCCACTCACCTTCGAACGCCTTCTGTGCCCGCTCAGCATCATCCTGGTTCTTGTCCGGGTGGACCAGGATAGAGAGCTGCCAATAACAGCGACAAAAAAAGCCTCCGAGTTATTTTCGCACAATGCCCATTGACTCAACACTGCCCATAGACTCAACACTGCACCATAGACTCAGCACTGCCCATAGACTCAACACTGCCCATAGACTCAACACTGCCCATAGACTCAACACTGCACCATAGACTCAACACTGCACCATAGACTCAACACTGCCCATAGACTAACACTACCATAGACTCAACACTGCACCATAGACTCAACACTACCCATAGACTCAACACTGCCCATAGACTCAACACTGCCCATAGACTCAACACTGCACCATAGACTCAACACTGCCCATAGACTCAACACTGCACCATAGACTCAACACTGCCCATAGACTCAACACTGCCCATAGACTCAACACTGCCCATAGACTCAACACTGCCTGTAGACTCAACACTGCCCACAGACTCAACACTGCCCATAGACTCAACACTGCCCATAGACTCAACACTGCCCATAGACTCAACACTGCCCATAGACTCAACACTACCCATAGACTCAACACTGCACCATAGAATCAACACTGCCCATAGACTCAACACTGCCCATAGACTCAACACTGCTCATAGACTCAACACTGCCCATAGACTCCACACTGCCCATAGACTCAACACTGCCCATAGACTCAACACTGCACCATAGACTCAACACTGCACCATAGACTCAACATTGCCCATAGACTCAACACTGCCCATAGACTCAACACTGCACCATAGACTCAACACTGCCCATAGACTCAACACTGCACCATAGACTCAACACTGCTCCATAGACTCAACACTGCCCCATAGACTCAACACTGCCCATAGACTCAACACTGCCCATAGACTCAACACTGCACCATAGACTCAACACTGCCCATAGACTCAACACTGCCCACAGACTCAACACAACACATAGTCTAACACAGCCCATAGACTCAACACTGCACCATAGACTCAACACAACACATAGTCTAACACTACCCATAGACTCAACACTGCCCATAGACTAACACTACCATAGACTCAACACTGCCACCCATAGACTCAGCACTGCACCATAGACTCAACACTGCACCATAGACTCAACACAACACATAGTCTAACACTACCCATAGACTCAACACTGCCCATAGACTAACACTACTATAGACTCAACACTGCACCATAGACTCAACACTGCCCCATAGACTCAACACATGTGAGGTCGTCACCTGTCTGAATCGTTTCTTGATGTCCGTGTCCGAAGCCTCCGGGTCCAGCTGTAGCACCTGCAGCGGCACACGGACACGGCACAGGGGATCAGTCACAAACCAAACCAACTTTG